CCTCTCCATCTTCCACCTGTGTCCACCTTGGTTCACCTGTAAGTTCACCTACATTACCGTCACATTACTACTCTCTTAGGTGGTGATAAATGAAGGTAGGGAGGTGGTAGCTGGCCAGGATAAGTGTGACGGATTGTGTGTTGAGATGGATAGCTTGTCAAGGAGCTTTGTTGTTCTTTATTATGGTTGATTATTAATATACTGTACCCAGGGGCTTCATCCTCCTCCAGGTGAATTTTAAAGCAATTTAGAGAGAAGATTTTGTTTACAAAGTCAATATATATGATTATACAATATACAGTATAAGATATATAATGATCATTTGAAAACTATAATATTATATACTATTGTCAAGCTATTTTTCCAAGATTATTTAAAGTAATTATATCAGGATTATAATGAAAACTATTGATAATGTAATATAATGTAAACCTTCAGTGTAAAAAACCCAATTGCATTCCTCTATCTCACTATAAAAGATAAAAAGAGAGAGAAAATTTAAGATAAAAAGTCAAAGAAAAGAAAGATGAAACGTTGGGTCAGACTCACTTGAAATTCTCCACCTTCATCTCCCTCCCTGATGGTATCCTGTAGTCTGCTGACGAAGAACCTGGCCCATGTTACTACGGTCTGGCTCCTCCGTAATCACCAGTGGGAGGGGCGTGAGGGGGAAGATGTGGGGGGTGGTTAGGGAAGGATAGGATGAGGATGGGGAGATGTGGGTGGGGATGGGGGGTAGGATGGGATGAGGGGGTGATGTGGGGGGGGTGTTGAGGGAAGGATAGGATGAGGGGGGGAGATGTGGGGGTGGGTAAGTGAAGGAAGGGGTGTGAGGGGGAGATAGAGCTGTAGGAGGGAATGAAATAGGGAAATTGTGACGAAAGGAGAAGAAGGAAATGGATGGAGAAGGAAATGTGAAGAGGAGATGGAAGAGGAAAATGAGGAAGAGGAGAAAGGACGAATAAGACGAAGAGGAAGGGAAGAAGAAGAAAAGGAAGAAAGAAAATAAGATGAATAGGAGGAGATATAAGAGAAGGGGGAGGAAGAAGAGAAGTAAGAAGAGGAAGAGGAAGAAAATAAACCTTCAGAAATAAATGAATTTTCCTCAATACCTTGTTTTTGTGTTTACTCTTCCATCTGTCTGGCGACTGAGGAGGAATGTTGGCGGCCGATAATGAGGAAGAATTGACGGTGGAGAAGAAAGGTAGGGGAGGGGGTAAGGAGGGAGAAGAAAAAAAGAGAATGAAACCTTAAGCAATAAACGCATAAAAGAGAGAGAGAGAGAGAGCGAGAGAGAGAGAGAAGAATATAATGCAGATAGTGTGACAAGATGAAATGAAGAAAAAACCCAGATGGAATGAATTAGAGAAAGAAGTGAAAATGACGAGAGTTAAAATGCAGAATGAAAAGGAGAAAGAATAGGCGAGGAATAAAGAAGTAAAGGAATGAGATTAAATTAGGAGAGTAAACTGAGAAATGACTGGAGTAAGGAGAGGGAAGTTAGAGCGATGAAGAAAGAAAGAAAGAAAGAAAGAAAGAAAGAAAGAAAGGGATGACAGGGAGGTGAAAGATACTGGTCGGTTGCTTGGTTTTCTGTCAAGGGGGAGGCCTGTCTTGTTTATTTGTTTATCTTAGTTTTCTTTAAGGGGGTTTCTTGAGGTGATCTTGAAAGGGAAGAAAGGGGGGTGAGCTGGTGAGGTGCTCTTAAAGGGGAGGTGAGGGGAAGGGGGTTCGTGGCTACTCTTAAGGGGGAGGGGGGATTCTTGAAGTACAATGTAAGGGGGATTATTTTTAAGCTCTCTTGAAGGAGTTTTCTATAACACTCTTAAAGGTGAAATTTCTAAGGGGAGTTTCTTGACATGTTCTTGAAGAGGTCGCCTATAAAACACCCATTAACTTCGTAAGTAATCAGAACAAATAATAAACTGAATATTTTTGTCACCACAGCACAGAAAAAGAAGAGAGATTTGTTTTGAAAGTAATTAGGTCAATAATTACCATCATTATTACTCTCACTCAAAACAGGAAGGGATGGAGTCTGTCTCTTAAATGGCGTCACGGTTGTTATACCTCTAATACCAAAATGACCCTGAGGGAGGAGGAGGAAGAGGAAGAGAGGAAGAAGACGGAGGAGGAGGGAGAGGAGTGACAGGAGGAGGAAGAAGTTTAGGAGGGTAAAGAAGACGAGTAGGAAGAAACGGGAGGAGTAGAAGGGAGAGCAGGAGGAGGAAGAGGCTTAGGAGAATAAAGAGCTCAAGGAATAGGAAGAAGACTAGAAACAGGAGTAGAAGAAAAAGGAGAAGTAAGATTAGAAGGAGGAGGAGGAGAAGAGTAAGAGAAAGGGAAGGAGGATGAGGAGCACGAGGAGGGGAAAAAGGAGGAAGAGGAGGAAGAGAAAGAGCATGAGGAGGAGAAGTAGGAGGGAAGAGGAGGAGGGGAAAGAAGAGGAAGATGCTCCCCTCCCTCTACCACAGTCACAATATATGTTGTGTGTCGCCTTCCTCGAGTCATTTATATCAATACACGAAACTTCTCCTCTCAGCTTCCTCTCTGCCACTGGGTAAACAAAAGCGTCACACTATTAATTCAATATTTTCTACCATTTCTCAGCGCTGTGATGGTGGTGATGGTGAGGGGATAAATATGGTGAGGGATAAAGATGGTAAGAGGAAGATGAAGAAGAGCAGGAGGGTTTGTTTACGTGTGTGGGTGTAGTGTAGGGGGTGTGGGTGTAGTGTAGGGGGTGTGGGTGTAGTGTAGGGGGTGTGGGTGTAGTGTAGGGGGTGTGGGTGTAGTGTAGGGGGTGTGGGTGTAGTGTAGGGTGTAGTGTGGGTGTAGTGTAGGGGTGGGTGTAGTGTAGGGGGTGTGTAGGGGGGTGGTGTAGTGTGGGTGTAGTGTAGGGGCGTGGGTGTAGTGTAGGGGGTGTGGGTGTAGTGTAGGGGGTGTGGGTGTAGTGTAGGGGGTGTGGGTGTAGTGTAGAGTGTGTGCGTTGTTGACGTCACCAGTGGCGCCATCTATTGACTGTAGGACGAGTTACTGTATACCATGGTGACAGGGCTAAGATAATGTCACCTTTGTATTTTTTTATATGTTTTTTTTCGTCCTATTCTCTACCTGTGACGTCCTGCTTTTGTTTTTCCTCTCTGGTTAATTATTTTTACTAGATGAACCTTTTGATGTATGGCTGAAATGTTTTTTTTTTCCTAGGATGAAATATATTAATGGTGGTGTTTTGGGGAGATTTCTGGTTGCGTACTTTCTGATGCAACTATGATTGTATTTCATTGTTGTTTTAAGAGATTGTCATTTATTCTCATTTTCTTCCTCGTCTCTCTACACCCCTCCACATATCCAAATTTCTTAACTTCTCAATTATATATAAACCCGAATAATGATACACAAACATCTTCAAATATACACAAACACACAAAAAAACACAAACACAAACACTTTCAATTATCCGTATATGTTTACTACCCAGCCTCTTCCTTTTCTTCCTCTTCCCTTTATTCTTTTCCCTTCCTCTTCCCCAATCTTTATCATCCCTTTATCCATTTTCTTCCTTTCCTTCTGCCTCTTCTCCTATCCTTTCATCGTCCCCTCCCCCAAGTACTTCTCATCCCTCTCTCTTCCTTCTACATTCCTCTCCTCCTCTTTCTTCCTCCTCTTCCTACCTCTCTCCTCCTCTACCCAAGTATTTCTCACCACCCTCCTCTTCCTTCTTCTCCACCTCCCTTCTCCAAGTACTTCTCAACCTCCTCCTCCTCATCCTCCTCTTCCCCACCCACTCAACCTAGCTCCTCCTCCCAGACAAGTGAGAAATGATGCTCCCTCTCGCCTTTGTCATAATGCTTTTCACGTCATTTCACTGTTTTCACGTCATTTCACTGTTTTCACGTCATTTCACTTTGTCGAAAATCTTCCGGAGATACTGGTGAGCTGTTCCTTCTATCTGTCAGCCGAAGAGGATATCGCCAGTCTGTCAGGGAGGAAGGAAGAGGGAAGGGGAGGAGAGGGGGTAATGAGAGGGAAGAAGTAGAGAGAAGAGGGGGTAATGGGAGGGAAGGAAAAGAGAGGAGAGGGGGTAACGAGAGGGAAGGAGAAGGGAGGAGTAGGGGTTATGGGAGGAGAGGAGAAATAAGTCAAGGAGAGAGGAAAGATAACTCGGAAGAGAGGGAAAAGAAGTTGGGAGAGAGGGAATCGGTAAAGAGAGAGAAGTAAAATCGGGAGAGAATGAGGGAAGTGAAATCGGGAGCAATGGAAAGGAAGTCGGAAAAGGGGAAAGGTAAATCGGGAAAGAGGGAAGGGAAGACAAGAGAGATGGAATGGGGAATGAACATGAAGTAAAAGAGGAAAAAGTAATCATAATACAACATATAAATAAAACAAAATAAAGCAAAAGATTGAAGAGAAAGGAAGAGGGAATGAATTCACAACGAAAGAATAGAACAGATAGACATAAAAGAGTAAGAGGGAAGTAAAGAGAACACTGTGAAATGGAGGGAGAAGGAAGACGAATGTAGGAGGAAGAGGATAAAAAATAATGTATGGATCAGCGATTTTCAAAGAGGTGACGTCAATGATCCAAAGAAAGTATAGATTTAGTGAGTGTTTTTGCCTCTTTTTCTTCTTCTCCTTCGTCTGTGTATTCATTTTCGTCTTCTTTCTTTTTTGTTTTGATGCCCTTAATCTTCTTGATCATCTATTTTCTTGATACTTTTGTCTTCATCCTAATTTTTTTTTTACCTCTCTCTCTCTCTCTCTCTCTCTCTCTCTCTCTCTCTCTCTCTCGTACAAAATCCAAAAATATCTTCAATGATAATAAACCAAAACCTGAACGAAAGTTAACTAATAAACACGAGGGAAAAAAATATCCCATCCTCACAACTTTCCGTAAACTTTTATCTTTACGGCATTTTTCTTTTTTCTTTTGTTAATTGTCTTTTTTACAACTCTTTTTTTTTAATTTTTACTCACAATTTATTCTTTTTTCTTTTCAGTGACTCGTGTGGATCACCTTCTACACTACAGCGTTGGTGGAGAGCGCCCGTTCACCCTTCAGTACTAGTTAAATGGGCCCCAGTCCTGATAGACCCCTGTCGTAATTGTGCCCTTTCGTAATTGGGTCCCGTCTTGATAGGTCACTAGTCACAATAGGTCCCCAGTCATGATAGGCCCCCAGTATTAATAGACTTCAGTTGTAATAGGCCCTCAATTTAAGCTAACCTATCCATGAAAATTGCGACCGAGTCTAAATGGATGCCAGTACCATTTGAAACCTAATCCTGATGATTTTGTTCAATTTGGAGTGGGACTTATAAGAACTGGGGCCCATTAAAATTGGGCTCGATTAAGACTCGGGTCTCTTAGAACTTGGGCTTAATAAGACTGGACTAGGAACTATTAAGACTATTTGACTAGCATTACATCAGGCAGAACTAATATATAAATACCTTTATATAATACACCTGCATTGTACCGCAACTGCAGCTACATAACCAAGTACAGGTGTGTTGCATAGGTAATCAGTCAGGCTTTCCCCCCATCCTCCCCACCACCCTCGCCCTCGTATGGTCCTTGAAGACAGCACTCGAGCCGATCAATTGCATTCAAGTCGACCAATCAATCAACACCTACCGCCGCAGAGTTGACGTAAGCCTCAACTTCCAACCTGGAGTTGCCGCAATTCACCCGCTACCTGTACGAACCAGCTACCTGCATTATCCACACCCGTAAACTACCCTGTATATCCGGGCTTTTGTTGCATTCCTCAGAAGCTCGTTTCTACAGGTATCTTGCGGTTGAGAGACACTTCTTCCAGAACTTCTACAGGTAGTCTACGAGAGAGAAACACGGCTACAGGTGTTCTACGGTTGAGAGAGATACTGTTATAAATATCCTATGGTTGAGATAAACGTATATATGAAATTCTACAGGTATCCTACAGTTACTGAAGGATACTTTGCCCCGATGGTCATATAACTAGACTTCCTTTGGATACGAAAAAAAACATAGAATCTGAAAATAAAAAAAAATAAAAAATCCTACAGCTGAAAAATACGCCCACAAAATACATATCTACCAGGCGTCCTGTATGTATCCTAAAAGTCTAAGGATCCCTCCGACCCCTGCTATGTCAGATTCTCCCTATAGTTATATATATAGAAAAAGATTCCAACTTAAACTTATAGGAAAGGATATCTGTTAATACGTGAAATTATTGAGCCAAAAAAATATGCTGTTGTTATTTTCTACGGCGGAGTCATTATTTAGTGAATTTAGTCCAATTTTATTAATTTTAACGGTGAATCATGATAAATTTTCTATCGTTAAATTTCAAGTCGTTTTAAATTTCTAAGAGTTGAAACAAGATGAATGTTTTGATACAGGTAATTTAATGTGAATTTTAAAATGTGTATATATAATTTATTAGGAATTTTACTTTATAAGAGAAATTAAAGATTCATGTTTTTAATTTTATAAAAGAATTTAGATATTTAATTCTATTATTTCCTGATAAAATTAAACAAACATAATGACATACAGTATAGAGAAAATTATATATTTTAAAATGTATCCAAACTTAGCATTATTCTAAGTGGCAAAATAAAAATTCTAATATAGGAATTTATGCACAAATCCCCTCTTTTCCTAATACATTTTATGAAACATTATAAAGTGTAAAATAGACTATGACCTCAACATTCACTAGGGAGTACAGTATATAATATTCCACATATATATTGATAATAAACTGAAATGTAAATATTGAGAAACAGATAATTTTTTGTATTAGTTAATCAGTTATTTGTCTTGAGTCTGTTATTGATACTCATGTGTATAACTATAATGTATTGTTATCATGTGTTTTAAATTATTATGTAAAGTGATAAAGATAAGATATGCATTAAAGATAGTAATTAAGTAAAGAGAGTGAAAGAGATAAAGATAGAGAAATATATATGTATATAAATAAATACATAGATAGATATATAGGCAGATAGATAGATAGATAGACAGATAGACAGACATACTCAAACAGATGCCATTGTTAAGTTTTAATTAAATTAAAAAATAATACTGGCTTTTGTTTTCATTGTTAGTTCCTTCCTGACCAAATTATCTCCACAACGCAAACATTAAAGGCTTAAAAATTTCAAGAAGGTTTAATTAAAGTGTTTGAATATATCCTCAAATAGAAGGATGATGGGAGATTGTGCTCTGTGTGTGTGTGTGTGTGTGTGTGTGTGTGTGTGTGTGTGTGTGTGTGTAAAACTGATAAAGACACAAAAAATAAAAACTATGAAATATTTAAAGAAAATTAATACATATGAAACAAAACAAAATCGAAGTTAACGAAACACAAACGGTAATAAATAAGGTAGAAATACGATAAATAAATAAATAAATAAAATAAAATAAAATAAAATAAATGAATAAATAAATAACAAAATAGTTATAAAATTATCAACTTATTAATATACAAAGATTAAACTCGATTATTCCTTAAAATTACCAAAAATATATGAAAAATTACTACAAAAAATCCCAGTCTTTACCCTAAGTGGACAAGTGACTGGATCTGTCAAAGGTAACACTTAACAGTCATATTAACTGAGAGTTAATTGAATTTACAGTCATCATTGCATGTTGTTCGGTGATTGGTTAGTTTAACTGGGTAATTTCCATCCCTCCTGTCACTTAACTGGAACAGCATTATTTATACTGTCAGAAATTGGGGCATTACCACTTCCATTCTCAGCTAACTGGGTCATTACCACTTCCATTCTCAGCTATCTGGGTCATTACCACTTCCATTCTCAGCTAACTGGGTCATTACCACTTTCACTATCAGTTAACTGGGTTATTACCGCTTCCATTCTCAGCTAACTGGGTCATTACCACTTTCATTCTCAGTTAACTGGGTCATTATCACTTCCATTCTCAGCTAACTGGGTCATTACCACTTCCATTCTCAGTTAACTGGGTCATTGTCACTTCCATTCTCAGCCAACTGGGTCATTACCACTTCCATTCTCAGCTAACTGGGTCATTACCACTTCCATTCCTAGCTAACTGGGTCATTACCACTTCCACTATCAGTTAACTGGGTCATTATCACTTCCATTCCTAGCTAACTGGGTCATTACCACTTCCATTCTCAGTTAACTGGGTCATTTCACTTCCATTCTCAGCTAACTGTCATTACCACTTACACTCTCAGTTAACTCTATTACCGCTAACTGGGTCATTACCACTTCCAGTCTCAGCTAACTGGGTCATTACCACTCCACTCTCAGTTAACTGGGTCATTACCACTTCCATTCTCAGCTAACTGGGTCATTACCACTTCCATTCTCAGCTAACTGGGTCATTACCACTTCCATTCTCAGTTAACTGGGTCATTATCACTTCCATTCTCAGCTAACTGGGTCATTACCACTTCCATTCTCAGTTAACTGGGTCATTGTCACTTCCATTCTCAGCTAACTGGGTCATTACCACTTCCATTCTCAGCTAACTGGGTCATTACCACTTCCATTCCTAGCTAACTGGGTCATTACCACTTCCACTATCAGTTAACTGGGCCACACACTTCCATTCCTAGCTAACTGGGTCATTACCACTTCCACTATCAGTTAACTGGGTCATTATCACTTCCATTCCCAGCTAACCAATATTACCACTTCCATTCTCAGCTAACTGGGTCATTACCACTTCCATTCTCAGCTAATTGGGTCATTACCACTTCCAATATCAGTTAACTGGGTTATTACCGCTTCCATTATCAGTTAACTGGGTCATTACCACTTCCATTCTCAGCTAACTGGGTCATTACAACTTCCACTATCAGTTAACTGGGTCATTACCACTTCCATTCTCAGTTAACTGGGTCATTATCACTTCCATTCTCAGCTAACTGGGTCATTACCACGAACACAGTCATACCATCATCATTAACATTACAAATACGAATCATTACCACCTCATGAGCTCATATTCATTACCATCATCTAGAGATTAATGAGAGATCCCAGCTAGAAATTAGCTGGAAAGACAGTTAGAGATTAATTGGGAGATAGTAGTTAGAGATTAATGAGACATAGAAGCTAGAAATTAGTAGGCATGACAGCTAGAGATTAAATGGGAGATAGTACAAGAATGGGAAATATTGATAAATTAAGAGATAACGTAGGAATAAGAGGTAAAGAATAATTGGGAGATAGTAATTAGAGATTATTGAGAGATAGATAACAGCAAGATATTAGTAGTAGCATTAAGAGCTAGAAATTAATTGAGAAATGTGATATAAAGATTAATTGGAAAACCCAAGCTAGAAATTGGTAGAAAAGACAACTAGAGATTAATTGAGATTTAGGCGCTAGAAATTAATAAAAAAAATGGAGATTGAGATTAATAAGAAATTGGAAATAGAGAATAATGACAGATAGAAGATTAAGAGATTACAAATTGGGAGACGACTATTAGAGAAGAACTGAGATACACAAATTGGAGATAGAGATTAATGAGAAATTGGAGATAGAGATTAATGAGAGATAAGAGATAGAAATTAAATAGCAGACGACTATTAGTGAAGAACTGAGATACACAAACCATATATTAACTAATAATTACTAAAAAAAATATCCTAAAAGTTAATTAATACATAATAGAAAAAAAAATTATACAGTAAACTAAAAACAAAAGATCAAAGTAAACAACAAAAACTAATCGTAAATAAGAGTAAACTAAAAGTAAACAAAATTAAACTGGTAACTAATGTTTATTTTCAAGATGAGAGAAGCTTTTAGGTTTAAGAGTAAGGATTCCTCTGTCTGCCTGTCTGTCTGTCTGTCTGTCTGTCTCTTTTCCGTCTTTCCTGTTAATGATCTTAATAAAATGGACACTTTCCATACGTCAGATTATGATGGCAGACGAGGTATAAGAGTGATAATTAATTGACGGGGGTATAAGAGTGATAATTAATTGACGGGGTATAAGAGTGATAATTGACGGGGGTATAAGAGTGATAATTGACGGGGTATAAGAGTGATAATTAATTGACGGGGATATAAGAGTGATAATTGACGGGGGTATAAGAGTGATAATTGACGGGGTATAAGAGTGATAATTGACGGGGGTATAAGAGTGATAATTGACGGGGGTATAAGACTGATAATTGACGGGGGTATAAGAGTGATACCACTGACGGGGGTATAAGAGTGATAATTCATTGACGGGGGTATAAAACTATGATAATTGACGGGGGTATAAGAGTGATAATTGACGGGGGTATGAGAGTGATAATTAATTGACGGGGTATAAGAGTGATAATTGACGGGGGTATAAGATTGATAATTAATTGACGGGGGTATAAAACTATGATAATTGACGGGGGTATGTGATAATTGACGTGTATAAGAGCGATAATTGACGGGGGTATAAGAGTGATAATTAATTGACGGGGGTATAAAACTATGATAATTGACGGGGGTATAAGAGTGATAATTGACGGGGGTATGAGAGTGATAATTAATTGACGGGGATATAAGAGTGATAATTAATTGACGGGGGTATGAGAGTGATAATTGACGGGGAAGAAAGACAACAGTAAACAGAAACCAGAAAACCATTTGACCCTCAACATATTTTCTACACTATCACTCCTCGAATGATAAAGTTCTCTAGTCACAACACTACTTAGAAACCAACCCCTTTATCCAACCTTTATTCCCTTC